GTTTTTGTTTTTTTACTTTATTTTCCAAAATTCCTCCGTGGTGGGGGGGTGGGGGCACGGAACGCTGCCGGCGCGAATCGACAAGCACATCTGGGTACCGTCGCTGATCGCCTTAGCTTCCTAGCGCACTCATTGAATGAAGCGACACCGGGGACGGCGGCTCTCTTACATCTCTAGAAATCACCTTCTCCGCCGATCCTATTCGTCCGCCAGGCGCTTCTGCTCGACGCCGTTGCTGTCCACCCTAGGTCGGACGGGCTGCGGAGCAACTTCGTCCGCGGATCCGAGGCGCGAGAGGACTTGGACGCGAGGACGGCCAAGCTGGAGCAGCTTGCAGAGGCGAACCCTTTGGTGCGTGCGCGTCGTTCGTGTGGGGCTTGGGTGTCGTCTATAAAGCGGTTTGCTTTTGCCGCCGAAGGTGTTGTTGACAGTGCCGGGGAAGCTGGTTTTTCTCTGAAAGGTTCTGAATTCATTTCCCATCGTTTCTGACCTGTTGCGCTCCGTCCGATGGCTGACGGATCTACTCCCCCCCTCCCTTCCATCAACGTTGAACTCCCTGCACCGGTTGGGTCTGTTTTATCGCGGGCGGGAGCAGGCACGCGTAGCACTGACGATAATGAAGAAACTCCGCAACGCCAACAAGGACTGCCTGGTCTGCGACGAGCCGATAGAGGGCTTCCTCCCGGCCGTGCCGATCGTCTGCCCTAAGGTATGATTGATCTCCTCTGCCGCCCGCCTTATATATGTGCAAGGCTCTGTTTTCGTCGTTTCACGCCGGTATTTGACCCTGTTAACAGAGGGAGGCGGGCATTGGTGGTGGAGGGGGCTACCATGTGTCCATGTTTTCCTTCCTGATGAAGTGGTTGCGTGCTGAAGTGATCGGACGCCCCTATCCAGGGGGGGTGGCGGTGGCGGCGGCGGGGGTGCAACAGTAGTCCCCCGTGCTTGTCGATTTTCCCTCTCCACGCGTGCTGGGAGAACACGATTGCCCTCCCGGGGTTACGCACGCCTTTCTCCAGGGGCTTCGCTCTAAACTGAGTCCAAGCCTCGGGGTGGATGGTTATTGGTTTGCTGGTTTGCTGGTTTGCTGGTTTGCCCATCTTTTTCTCCTGTGCTAGCTCACTTTCGCCATCCATCTAGCACGCACGCCCATGCGCTACACGCCTCGGACGCTATCACTCGTACCCGTTTGGAAACCATGTGAACGACGCATCCACGGCCCGCGACAGGAGTTCTGCCGGTGGAGATCCGAGCAAATGGGGTGCGGAACGGACGTCGAGTCGCAGGTATGCAAGCGCTTGGCGGAACAAGATGCTTTCCGCACAAGTACTCATGTAGCGTATATCGTCATCAGGTAGGTGTTATCTTGACCTTCTGAGACCGTTCTTCCCGCTTGTTGGTCATGCAGGAGACGACAATAGTGTGGATATGTATGGGAAGTCCCGAATTCCAGCATGAGTAAACCCAGCCACGGTTTACGAGAAACACCACAAGATCGGGCACGCGCGGTGTGAATTTGTATCACTGAATGGCCAGGTGTTGAGGAAAGGGGAGACGGTGGACCTGCTGGTCGACCTCTTCTGGATGGCCATGCACAGCGGTCGCTCGGAGCTCGCCTTCCCGGCTACCGTGAGAAATCGACAGTGTCTCTTCTATTCGCCGTGGTGGTTGAGGTGTTGTTGTCGTTGTAGTACTGTAGTTGTCGTTGTCGTTGTTGTTGTTGTTGTTGTTGTTGTTGTTGTTGTTGTTGTTGTTGTTTGTGGATGAATTTTAGTGGTAGTTGCGGTTTCTGCAGTTGTGGGAAAGATGTTGTTGTCGTTGTCGTTGTGGTTGTTGTCACGTAGACACGTTTCTTTCGCACGAGATGGACGACAGCTTTTGCCCCCGTGACCGCAAGAGAAGAATTCAGACCCCCACCTTGCCAACTCTATCCGACCGGTGACAAGGGATTGGGGTTAACGTGACCTCCTTCCGATGATACTGTATCGCGTGAAGGGTGGAGAACTACGAAACTGTCGGCGATGCATAGGGTTAGCATTCTGCCACGGCCTTTTCGAAGAACCAATCCTGCATAGTATTCCTTCCTTCTTTTCGTCTGTTTGGGTTGTTTTTTCCCACTCGTGTTCACTATCGTAGGTGCAAAGCGGCACCGACCTGGTATTCAAGCACCCCAGCGGGCGCAACGACGTAGACAAGGTGGGGCTCCGGGAATGCGTGCGAAAAGTATCGAAACGGGGGGAAGCGGGGCTCACCTAGCGGTTTTTCTTATTGGTGCAAAGGTCCAATTGCAAACGCACACGGGAGTATGGCGCTCAGGTTAGGCTCAGTGACACTTGCGAATACTTGTCGGCTTGGCTTCTTGCAACGGCGATGAGTAGGTGCAGCAAGTCCTGAGGGCGCTGCCGACCGTGGCGGACATGCAGCGGTGCATCAAGCGGAAGCGGGGAGAAGGAGAGGAAGGAGAAGACGACGACCCCCAGGCCGGGAAAACGACGATGGCATCCACAACGCCGGCCCCTCCCCTCCTCGAAGACGAACAAGCGCGGCAACGGAGAGCCGCCAACGTGGCCAACGCCTCCGCCAACGCCGCCGCCATCGCCATCGCCGCCGACAACGCGGCCGTGGCCGCCGAGGCCGCGGCCGCGCGAGCGGCCGCCAGCGACGCCGCCGCAGCTCGGGCGGAAGCTATTGCCGCCGGCTGCGCTGGCGCAGCCAGCGCCGCTGCCTAGGCACAGGCCGCACGA